GAAGGAAGGAAGGAAAGAAAGAAAGAAAGAAAGAAAGAAAGAAAGAAAGAAAGAAAGAAAGAAAGAAAGAAAGAAAGAAAGAAAGAAAAGGAAAGCAAGTACACAAGCAGGAAGGCAGGCAATCAATCTATACAAGGAAATCAGTGTCAATAAAACTGACCTCCCAAGACAAGGAACACATCTCAATTTTATCCATGTTTGATTGAGAAATATAACTTAAACTTCTCAAACATTAACAGTGCTGTCAATGGACCATTATTTCCCCAAAACCTCTGAACCAAAGCTTGGAATTTTAGATGGAATAATTAAGTATATATTGTGAAATATGCTAAATACAAATTTACACCAAAAGAGAAAAATAGAAATACAGGAACAGACAGAAATGTGGATACAAAGTTATTTCCAGAATGTATCGCTTTCTATGTAGATAAGCTACTTATTCAACGCAAGCTTATTCAGAACTCTGTGTTAACAAGAGTCAGCACTCATGAGGTTAGGACAAGACCTAAGCAGTTGATCTTTGTGTTTACAAAAAAAACAATGATGCTAAACATGCTTTTCATTTCATCTGTTCCATGAAAGTTGTATGTATTGGCAAGACCAAAAATCTTGTGTAGGTCATAGAATGTCAGGTAGACCTGGGGCACAAGTTGGTGCCCACGAGCCCCACAACTATCTGACTTGACATCCACCTTTTTAGACACAAATGGAGATGTGTGCTGGTTCAGCCTGTGCTGAGTGCTTGCAGGAAGCCAACCACCCTGGAGAACTATGTCTGCCTGTGAACAGCAGTGCCAGGAGTTTTCCTGGGCCACCTTCCAGGTCTTCAGCCCTACAGGTTGCTTATTTCAATGGTGTTTTCTTTCTTTTAATCCTTTAGTTATGTAGCCATCACTTTTAAATTATTCATCATATGATTTAATAGTGTTTTCTGTTGCAGTAATATTTGTCTGAAATGAAAATAAATGGAGAATCAGAGTATATCTCTAGCCCTGTTCATTACTAAGATTAATCTTGCTAAGATTAATCGCTAAACATCCTCTTAATTGTTTAGCAAACAAGCATTTCCTTTTATATAGCATACATTTACTTACCATGAATATTGCAATACTTTTTGTTTATAAATATTTCAGTTTTAAATTTTTTTGTCCTAAGCTATAAATAAAATTAATCATTTTGCCATTTTAAGTATATAATTCAGTTATCATAATTCATTTACAAGGTCATAGAGTCACTACTATTGTACTTCCAAATCTTTTTTTTTTCAGGTTTTGCTTTGCTTTGTTTTATTTATTTGTTTATTTATTTATTTTTTCATAATTTTATTGATAAACAAATAGCAATGGGACAGTTTCAAATCAAATCTCTAGGACAGTTTCAATAATTAACACACTGCATACATTCTTCTTAGTGGTTAATTGCTGTACAAGATGCGGACTTGAGATCCTATTTACAAACACCATTAGAACAAATCATTCTATTCATTAAGAGAATGCAACTATATATCTATCCCAACCTCTTTGAATACACAGATACAAAATGGACATTCATCTGTATGCCCCATTTTTTCTAAGTTCCGTTATTGAATATTATAGGTGTGTAAACTCAGCAAAATAGTCTAAAAGAGTCCAGTAGCCCATGATAGCATTGGGTCTTCTGTTTAACTCGCAATGTCAGTAATTGTTGACCTGAGTCCCCTACAGCTCAACATAACAGCATGGCTTTATTTCTTATTTTTCATTTTTATACTTTTCTTCTGGATGGTTAAGACCTAAGTAAAGCAGGACGTAGCTTTTGGCTCTGATAAGGTCAGTGAAATCCCCTCAGGATTTATCCTGAGATCCTGTACCTCAGATTGTAGAACCTTTGTCAGTTGTACTTCCAAATCTTTTTATCTGCCTCAATCAGAAACTCTGTTTTATTTATTTATTTATTTATTTATTTATTTATTTATTTATTTATTTATTTTGGCAGAACGGGGGATTGAACTCAGGCCCTTGCACTTGCCAGGGAAGCACTTATTCCACTGAGCCATCTCCCCAGCCCTTTATTTTTAGAACCCTGATGTTCTTCCTCACAGCCCTTGGTACTTTCTGTCACTATCAAATCAATATATCATTTCACATTGTTTAGGAACTGTTTTTTTTTTTTTTTGAGGTTTTTTAAAATATATTTTTAGGGAAGGGTCTACAGGGTCTCATGGTCTCACTACTAGATCGAACTCATAGTGATCCACCTGCTTACAGCCTCCCAAGAGCTGGGATTACAGGCATGTGCCACCATTTCCAGTCTCAGTTGCCATCTCAGCACACACCGGGGTCAGGGTTGGCCAGGCAGACCTGGGAATCTAACCCACTTCCCCTGAGCCTGCTCACAGGTGCTTTAATCCACTGAGCTATTTGGCCGGTCCAGGATTTGTTTTAATTGATGACTGTACACTTTTATAAACAAAGATTGTTATAATGTTTCTATAAAGTAGCTGCATCCATTTCCTGGCATAGCAACTTTTGGCTGCTTGCTGTGTACTGTTGGGCATTATGATAGATATCTGGAACATTTTCAGGATAAGGCAGGTTTCTTATTTTCATGAGTTCAGAAATCAGTAGGAAACCACTGAGAAAAAGCCCTGGTCATTCTTTACAATAAGTGCAGTAACAGGAAGGCAGAAAATATGCTTTGGCTGGAGAGGCCAGGGACCTCTCAGCAGACTCCTGGCAGGGAAGGGACATGCCATACGAAAGACTAGGGCTTGCAGAGAAGTGGAAGGATCACCTCTGTGCTCCCTGCAGATTGGAAACCTCATGACAGTGTGTTCCTAAAACACTGAAGACATGCTAGAATTGTATTTAAAATAAGGATTTGGAAGAGATTAATTATCATGAGGCTAATGGTAAGGGAAAAGAAAAAAGCAGGGACAACTTTTTAAAAGAATAAAACTAGTGGCAAACATGAACAAAGAAGATAAGGGAGAACAGGGATAGGAGCTGGGAGTGGAGGACTTCCAGTGGTGGAGCAAGGAGGAACAGGGTCAGGCCAAGGTGGCCCAAAAGCGTCCAGCCTCAGCCTGGTTGAAGAACTTTCTGGATCAGAACTACCTGTCTGTGGTCTGCTTTTCTGGTGGGTTTAAGTCACAGCCACTCTTTCATGCATCCATAACCTTTGCTTTCTTCTGCTTCTACATATGACATAGATAGTACAATTATGGCTTCAGGAGGACTTCTGTCCACTCACATGAACACAGGCCATGCTCTAGGACAGACCCCTTTTGTCCTAATATTATAGACAGCTAAGTCAGATGAGAATTAATACACAGTCAGAGAGGACTGGGCTCTCAAGGAGGTCAGCAGAAAAATAAAGACAGCAGAATTGTGGCTGGAGGTGCACCTGAAGATGACCAGGCCTCAAGATAGAGATGTACTCTATCTTGCCTACCTGCCTCCCTAAGATATAAACAGTAACTTGGGAATATACTGTAATTATTACCACCAGGTCCAGTAAATCCAGATGGGCATGAGTCACCTGTGCCGATTGCACCTGGACCCTTCCCTTCCCAACAATGCCTTTGTCCTGTCCACGCAACCTTGCTACTGACTTGACTCCTTATTGGATCCATATTAGCTAAGTGACTATCATGTAATCCTATAGGCTTATGGCAGTTTGACCTATGTTGTGCCCACACCGTGATTGCTGCATGCATTAGGGGCTCCCTGGTAACCCACTTTCAGGCCACTTTATGCTTCTCAAGATCTATGTCTTAATAAAATGTTCCTGCTCTTTACATTTGTAGTCCCTTGGAATTTACTCTTTCATATTTGGAGGACACAAACTCCATACATCTGACGTCTAGGAGGTTGGGTGTTATATTTTTCCTATGTCACTGAGGCCTGCTATGCACAGACAGAAATAAGATGCATGTGTGTCGAGCCACAGTAGCATGACATATGATAATCTTGCTTCACTTGGAGCTCATTACAGGTTCATGCATATGAACTATATCTCATATGGCCAAATGCAAATTATGGAAAAAGACATGCATAGTAGACACACGTGTCAATCACTCTGACATTCACGCTCTGAAAGACTCAATGGGAAGTTTAAATTCTAAATCCAACACATTCAGCTCTCCTGCCAGTTTTTTTTTTTTTTTTCTACCAGTACTAGCAACTTATTCTGGGCATTCCATCTCCTAATTAAACTTCATTAAGTGGTGCTGCTTTCTCTCCCTTCCCATCACACGCCACCTCAGCTTCTCTGCCACGCTCCCCCCTGAGCCCCATCACCTATGGCGACGAAG